GTAAGGGCAGTTGCAGACATTTTCTGCAAGGGCATCAGCTTGGTTGTCTGAAATAGACGCCCCCCTCCCCATTTTTGTTTCTGTGGTTGCTTCCCTGATATTTTTGTACAATCCTAGCTAGCCACTGGCTTTTCAACCCCAGATCCAAACTGGTGCATGTCTGTGTGTTTTCTAAGCCAGTAGTTTACTTTGTCCACTAGGAGAATAAAGATAATTACATTGCTGCCCTGGCACTTAGCTGTTCTCCTCAACTATCATGCCAAACATTAACTAGCAAGAAAGTGTGCCAGCCTAGCAATCACCAAAGGTTGTCTCTTAGCAATGGAACTCAGAAGCCTTGCAGGGATCGCTGGGGCCCCAAGGTCCACCTATAGAAATGAGAAGAGATGGGGATGGTTTGGTTAATGCTTTTGAGCCAAGAAACCTTCTCCAACCTGCACGTCCAAAAATATCTATGGTATAGAAATATAGAGCAGATACAACAAGAGGCAATAGGCCTATGCCACAAAATGTAGCAGTTTACAAGGACTGCTGAAGTGGTATGAAGAAACAAATAAGCACAAATAAAAAGGTGTTTTGGCTTTGGACCTACCATTATATATGATATATTGTCATCTCCTTCTGACACTTGCTCTACTGCTTTGTACTCAGGTCTGTATCTGGCAGGTGAGGAGAATGACAAGATCTTAAAACTTATTACCTCCTTGTTGACTGGCATTTGAATACTAATGAGCCCAACTATCTTAGAAGAGGGGACTAAAACAGTAATTATCTTTTGGGAGATTGTTTGCAGCTTGGTCTGTCTTGAAGGCTTTACTATTGAGTGTTGTTTTTATTGTGTGTGTGTTTTTCATAAAGATACTTTCATTCCCTTCTCTTATGTTCTTTATGTATATTAGAATTCTATTTAATATAATGGCCATAAGAGAATTTGTAAGGATGGTGGTTTAATACTTTGAGAATGATTTTATTTTATTTTTAACATGAGCACCTGAAAGCACCTAACAAACACTTATGAAGCCAGTCTGAGATGCCCAGATTCTGGACTATTTAGGATAGAAGTAGACATCGTCAAAGGAAGCAGATCAGTTGTGCAGGGACGTCTCATAGCGCTGATCCACTCCACTGGGCAAAATACACATTGCCCATTGCTGTGGGGAGATCCTGGAGATGTGTTTCAGTAAGCGGAGGAAGCTGGGCAGACACTCCCAGGGGTGGAGGGACCCAACTCTGCCTGGGAATTCCCGAGGTGTGCAGGACACAGGCAAACCCCTTAAGCCCTTGGAGCACCTGGCTGGGGCCACTGGAGAGTACAGGCATCTCTGGGCTGCCTGCGCTCTACCACCATGAAGCAAATAGACACCCATCACAAAGAAGTGGCACAAATTATTACTACCTTTTGGCACAACCACATTGTGGTACAACAAAGGGTATTGATATCTGTTTGCTTTGTGCCACCATAATGATTTTGATTGCAGCACAAAGGTGTTAAAAGGCAATGTCTCTCTGTCCGCCCTTAGAATCAAAATCCTTTCTAACGCTAGATAGATAGCATGCATAGAGCTCAACATACTGTGAACCAAGTGCTGTCCAGACATTACAAGGCAAGGTTTGGTAGTGATGGTAATGCCTTCACTAATCCAGTCTCTAGATGCTCTAATAGCACTGAAAAACCTCTACATATGGAGCCAGGTGTCTGGACATAACTGTAGAAGTTGTGCCTGGAACACTGCCCTGTATGTACTGGGTACCAAAGTGTTCTGTAATTACTAATCTGTCAAACTGCAAGACTTCCTGACAGTGCTCACCACGCTGTATTGAGGTTAAAAATTTACTTGTTGCCTAATGCGTCTGTAGTGTGATTGTTTAGGTCTAAGCACAGCTGTAGCTGAATCAAAGCAAACACTTGCATAGAACCTCTTACCTGCGTCATGTAAATGACTCTGGTAATGTCTTTCCCATCCAGTACGTCAGGTTCCAGTATCCAAGCGCTTGGCAGAATCTCACCTCGCACCACTTCTTTACAAGGACGAGGCATGGACTCATCATACACAGACTGAATAGCCAAAATGGACAGGTTCTCCTGCATGTGAACATGGGAAACAATTGTTTAGCGAGTACAGCGCAGACTGAAACCTTTAAGGGGCATGGACTAACTAACCTTTATTAATTGGTTCAGATACAATATACTAGAGGAAAGTCCAGTCTGAGTGATACCAATCCCTTCACCCCACTTCCCTCAAATCTTATCCACCCATTTAATAACAGACTAGGGAGGAGTTCTCTCTTGTTACATGAGTCACCCTAGATCTCTTACTTCTTTGTGTCAGTTTCCCTGGCTCTAAACCAGGGCTCTCAAACTCATTTGGCCCCACTGGCTAGACCCAGACTGCAAGGCTTGTTGTGGGCTAAATGACACACAAGCAGTGACATTAACTCTTGCAGCTGCTGAAACTGCTGTACCATGTAGCTGTGCAAGCCAAGTAGAGAAGGTGGCTGCCACACCTCACGCCCTTTTTTGTCCTGCCCCTGGTTAGTCACTGTTGCTTATCTTCTGCTTTGGCCCTGACCCTGACCTGGTCCTGCTGCTGCTTCTCCCTGGAGCAGACCTGCTCAGAAGATAAGCAGCGGTGGGGGCAGCAGGTGAGGGATGCAAGGGGTAGGCACAGGCATGGGAGATGTGAGGGGCAAGGTGCAGTGGGGGGAGCAGTCAGGAAGAACAACAGGTGTGGAGGCACAGGCAGGGGTCCGTCCCAGAAGCCCACTGCTGCTTTCCCTGCCACAGCATTGGGAGAAATTAATTTTAAGTTAACCCTCCAATAATTAGATTCTATACACAGAAAATTGTAAAACTTATCATTTTCTATGTATAGAATCTACCATATTCCATGGTGTATAAGTCAGGTTTTGAAGTCCAATTTTTGTGTCTTAAAAATCAAACTCAACTTATACACCTTACCACTGTCCCATGCAGTGGCTAGTACAACCCAGACAGCGTTGCTCGCAGGGGATGGGGCAGTGTCAGCCAAACACCAAGCCCAGCGCCACTCAAGGGATAAGCCCACATCCGCCGAGCGCTGAGCCCAGCCCCATCCATTGCGAGTGGCGCTAGGTTCAGTGCTCGGCTGGTGCGGACTCATCTCCTGCAAGCAGTGCTGCCTGGGCTGCAGAAGCCATTCTCTGCGAGCAGCGCCAGGCTTGGCGCTCTGCTGGTGCGGCCCTGTCCCCTGCGAGTGGAGAGGAAAGCAGTGGTGAGGTACTATACCACTCAACTTCTGGTACTTTTGTAAATCTAGCTAGCTCCATATGTTCTGTTACTAATGGGGTAATGAAAATCTGCTGTGTCCCCAGCTATTTAAATGCCTCCCTGTTTACTGATGCATTAATTTAAGTGCACATAATGAGCATAGACACTTCTTGAACTACATTCCTTCCGCAATGCTAACACCAATTCTTCGGCTTCATTTTTTTCTACCCCTTGAGAATCTTGCAAATGCTAGGCTGGGTTAACCTACAACCTATCGCCATTCTATCAACATGAGAACGAAGAGTGTACACAGCTGTTATCTAGCACAATAATGCTCTGCTCCCTTCTTCCAAATGGAAATGGAATATCTTTCATGATATTCATTTTACAGCTAAAAAAACCCCCATCTTACAAAATTAGTATACAAAGGTGTTCTCCTGTTCAGGGAAGGTATGCATGAGTAGTCTTACTACACGTACTAATGAATCTACTTAATAACATAAAGAACCAGTTTACAGTGTGAGGGTTTAAAGCTTCATGGTTAACACTGCTCTCGACTCCTGTAGCATAGGAAAATGTCTTCCCAAGAAAACTATTAGCAAAGGCTAATAAAGAAATAAGACTGCAGCCCCTCTTTCCTCCACATTCTTACTATCACCTTAAATTGTGAGCAAATACACCAATATCATTAAACAATTTAGACTGTATCTTGGAAAGCACTGATAAATTTACCTCTTTGGCCTCTATGGTGATGCAGCAGAAATCCCGTGGTTGCTTTAGGTGACACAGTGAAGTATCACTCACCAAATACACTATAAGAAAAGTGGGGGAAAGTCACACTGCAGCAACTCCATCTCCTCCCTTGTTTCTTGAAATAGAGCTTGCTACTGAGTTAGGCAGATCTTACAGAAGCTGCATGTTTGTAAATGCCCTTGAGTTACTTGACCCATACTGAAAAGACTGAAAGCTGGTAAGTGGGTAAGACTGCAGATCTCTTTACACCACTGTCCACAGTTAGGCCAGTCTCTTGAGTTCAGTTTCACTGCTCACTGGTTTTAAAGCTGCCTCTCAGTAATGCTGATAAAGCTACATATTATAACTGAGGGGAAAAGGCATCTACATGAGCAGCTGGTGAATGTGAAACTGCAATAAGCCAAAAAGTAGCTGCTTATTTTAAAAGCCTTTCACTACAGCTATTATCCCTGTGACTCAGACAAATATCGTATTTTCTCTGTCATGCCCAAGGCATTGATACTAGCATATATTTAACAATAATAATGGCTCTGTGGCTCTTGTAATATGTAATAGCATGCATTTTTTGAAGTAGCAAAATTATTTATTTTTCCAAATAGTGAAGCATTTCCATAGAAGCCAATAAAATATTGAAAATTATGAGCATCCAAACAGTAAGACCATTTTTTAGGAAAATGTTAAATTAGCATTTAGGGTCTGACTTTGAATTTTCTCATTGATGAGGGGCTGAACTATAGCTGAAATAGTTTCCTTTACATATTCAAATAATTTGAGATACTTTACTCTGAGATTACAGTGCTGCACCAGGGCAGTATAGATGTAATGAGGCATACCATGCCCACTCTGCACACGTGACCTCCCAAAGCAGGAGTCTAGTGCAGTACTGAGTTCACAACAAGCTTCGCTGAAGCAGTAAGCATCAGTATGTGCAATGTTGCATGAAGGAACCTACCTATACTACTTCTGGTCCTGGAAATAGCCTACATGGAATGGACACAGTGTGTTGGAGCCTGGATACACAAAAAGTCTGGTCCAGTGGCCACTGGTTTGATTCACTAACGTAAATTACAGGAAGATCCAGAGTGGCCAGAGGAGCAGGTTAGTTCAGCCTTAACAGACTGTAAGCTGCAGAAGCTGTAGCTTGCTTCTAGGTGGTGGTCAAAATACAAATAACCTGCTTGCCTGAGCAAATAGCATAAAGCTCACTCCAGGGCAACTATGCTACCACTCAGACCAGCATAATAATTCTGTAGCAGACTAAGCAGAGTCTTTTGTATGATATTATCTTCTGGTTTGCACTTGTGCTAAAGTCAGTTACACTGGTATAAATATACTGTAGGTCTAGGCTCGTAGGATGAAACTCCCTGGAGCTGCAGATGGATGGGAGACATATTCTGCACGATAGGCTCAAATTAGTGGCAAAGATTACGTACTGTGGGCCAGAGCCTCTACTGCTGAGGCTAAGCCCACCTTCACCACAGTCAGTGCTTCTAGGTGGTGGTAGAGCATATAGAGACGCATCTCATTTACACTCCCCAAGGTTCTGGTCCACCATGGGCAGTGTCAGGGTCCCTATTTACCAAGAGCATCCTATTTCATGTGCTTGAGCTTATTGCTTGTGGATTGTTACTGAGGTACGTTCAATTTTATTCCTTCTTTGGCCTTTTAACTTTGCCACCTCTAATAAAATGGCCAATATCAGGAACAAATACAACTTTTTTCTGCAGAGAGCAGTGACATCCATAAATCAATTGCTAGGGTGTTTGCTTTCCCCACAGGAAGTACCATTGATACTTACCCAACTGAATATGGCTGGTTACCTTCTTATGTACTCGAACTGTAGTAATAGTTTTGTCGTACAGATACCTCTTGCCAGGGTCTTTGACTACACACCACACACTTGGTAGAGGTCTTTCAATCACTCCTGCTCCCAGAAACCCATGCTTAGTTGCTGATGGGAAGACTTTGTAGTAGATGAGTACCTCTTTTTCTATACACTGGTATCTGAATGAAAAAAGTTCCAAGGATTTGCTCTGGGATAGCACAGATATATGGCCAAGAAGGAAAAAAATCTATCATGCACTTACTTCCAACCAGCTGCTGCCTGACAGTTGTAAAAGTTCCTCAGGTTATTTGAACATGCTGCCATAACCTTAGAAAACAATTACAAGATGTAGTTAGGAGAGTTCTCAGCTCTATTTATGCTCAGTTTTCTCCCACTGCTGTGGTTTGCCTCAGCATCTGGCTGATGAGGCACCTTAAGCATTTATAGATGAATGCTAAGTTAACTTTGTACATCTAGTCATCTTTCAGTGGTAAGACCCCCAGCTAAGGCTGATTTCCTTCTTGCTCCAACTCTCCACCAGAACAGACTCCTATAAGTAAACACAGTTATTTGTCATGGGAGGTGGTTTGATAGGAGAATATAAACCTGCAACAGAGATGTCAGTGTGCTCCTAGGAACAGAGGCATGTAATAAATATCTGGGTTTCCTAGTCTCTAACTGCAAACTATAAGACCCCTTCAAAAATATACAAATATTTTGAGAGACCCAGATGCTAGGCACTTTAGAAATACCTTAGTGCTACAACAAATGCACTAACAGGTCCTGTGTACAGTGGACATACACATTTGTTACGGTGAAAAATTAGCCTTAACATTCTCATCCCAGCAATGCTAAAATGAAGGCATCAGTCTAGAAAACATTATTACAATTGTTTAGAAACCAGCATGGTACAAAACTCATTAAGATCATTGCTGTGGTTATTTCTTCCCTGCCCTGGTGCTCCCCAAATAAAGTTGTGGAGTGTTGTCTATTTAAAACTTCTGATGACATATGACAATTAAATATTTTTGAACCCTGCTGCTAAGACCTGTTCCCATTTCCTTTTGCCATTTAAATTCCTCCAAGCCTCCTCCTGTATTTGACCTTCAAAACCAGAACCTTGATAACTAAGCAAGGAGAAAAACAGTTGCCCTGCAGTGCACTGCCACATACCAACCAGGGCTTCCACCTGAGTACAGTATTATTTTTCTTTATTTCCCTTTACTCACCTCAGTGATAGCATTGGTCAAGATGTGTTTGGACAAATCCTGGTATCCTTTGGTTGAAGAGGAGCTGACTGAAATTGTTAGTCCGTGCGTGAACCTACAGCTGATACTACTGGATGAGGGTGATGACTGAACTCTGCTGCTCTCTGTAGAGGGTGAAGAAGACAAAGGAAAAGTCTCTGAATTGAAGGGGAGAAGAAATCATATTCTGTTCCTCTTGGGCCATTGTTCCTCCTCCATCACCATGGGTTCCAAGCAGTTTCAAGTATGCATTAATAAGCAATGTAACTGTCATGTGCAGCTCTTCCCCTTCCCCTCCTCTTACCACCTCTTTCTGTCACTAAGAGAAAACCCAACTGAATATTTTAAAACCACACTGCATTGCTGTGTGGTGCTATGTGCTTATATTGAAAAAGGCAAAGCTGAAGAAGTGTGTTTTGCTTTTGGAACAGAAGGCGGTGGGGAAATAAGCCGGCCTTCCAGCATTTTGGGTCCAGTAGCAACAGAACGTCTCTTCCACAAAGAGACAGCTAAGGGGGTGGAGATTATGGTAGAAGTCTAGAAATAAAATCATGAAGGGTATGAGAACAAGTAAGGGGCACCATTCTGAACTCTCTCATAATACAAGATCAGGGTGCACCCAGAGAAATTATCTGACAACAGGTTTAAAACAAAAGGAATTGCTGTTGTTCACAATGCACAATTCACGTGTGAAACTCATGGCCACAGGACACTGTAGAGACTAATAGTATAACTGGGTTCATAAAGTGAGTAGACAAATGTATAGAGGATAGATCTATTAGAAGCTATAAAACATAACAATTAGGGATGTAACCTACCCAGCACTCTATCTTATTTTTTATATCCTAAGGCAGGGCTATCCAACTGGCAGCCTGCAGACTGCATGCAGCCCCTGGGCTGCTGGCCTAGGTACTGTTCCCTGCTTCGCAATTTTGCTGCTTCTACCAGAGTCCCTAGATTTCTCCTCCCTCCTCCAGCTTCTGCTGTCTGCCTCCTCCAGTGTCCATTGCCTTGGGGGCAGGGTGGAGAGCTATGAGGCTGAGGGAACCCATGGCCAGAGGGCTTGGAGGGCCCCTGGGACCCTATTATGTACACAGACCCTACACGTACACATTCAGCGCAGTCCCAAGGGGAAATTTAAGCCACCTTTCCAAGCTACCCTCTGATTTGTACCCTGTACATTTGTCTCAGACCTGAGGCTTTCATCCAGGCTGTCTGGACCCTCTTTGACATGGTCTCTTCTCCTTAGACAGGGTGCTGGCTTCTGTGCTTGGCTGACTGGACATGCATAAGGTTAGTCCCTAAAGCTAGCAAAAATACTTGAAATAGCAGATGGAGCTACTGCTGAGCTGGCAGAGATACTGAGTGGACTGTGCTCAAAATTTAGTCCATATTAGATTGTTTCTTTCAAAAGTGTTGCTTGTTTCTATTAGGACAGCTTAGTGGCATGAACGTGTTAAGACCAGGTCAGCCAGAACAACCTCAAGCAAAGCAGTGATGCAGATTCTGCCATACTTAGTATTAATGCTGGAAGCTAAGGTAGAAATGATCTCTTCCAAGGTAGTTTTTCAAATGAGAGAATTAAATTGTAATTGGATGTCGATCAAAATCAGGAATTGAAGACTAGGTCAAGTAGGTCTGATCAGAAATAACTATATTACTAATATTTTTTAATTTATGCAGAGCCTTTCCATATACAGTTACATATCATTAAGTCTATTCTGCAGATGGGTATGTTGAGGTAGGGAAGATCAAATGACTTATAAAAGCCATTAAGTCAATGACGAAGCCAAGAATAGAACAACTCTAACTCCTAATCTTTTAACTATATGACCATGAATGTAAGCAAGTCAATGCAGAAAAACTACCAAATTTATCCAGCAGTGGGGGAGGGGCAGGCAGAAGAAGAGGCAAGTAGTAGGGGGGCAGGTGCCAGAAGGCAGGCAGGAAAGTGGGGGGGGGGTAGGCAGCAGGGTAGGGGAAGTGGTGGAGAGGACACGTGGCAAAGGTTAGGCCACTTGATTATCCTGTTGCCTGCCCCCCTGCCGCTGCTTTTCCCACTGAAGTAGTGGGGAGGGACAAATTTAAGATAAGCCTCCAATAGTTAAGATTCTAGATTATAAAATTTTAATTTTCCATGTATAGAATCTAATCACTGGGGAGTCAGCTTATATTCAGTCATCTTGAATTTGGATAAATGCAGTAATTTATCATATTACTTTATAATACGTGTGTCAAGTGCATACTAAAATTGCAATCTGCAAGCCTACAACTTTGAAATTCTGGGCATAGGCTTGTATGGCCTTGCCTACACGTACCAACTCTGCTGCCAGGAGTTTCTGGTGACAGCAGACAACAGCTGCCACTACCAAGCCACTGGAGCAATTGTACCTCAAGAGCTTCTGCCAGCTCTGCATGGCTCTACTGAAACAGCTGTGCTGTCAAGGTGCAGCATACATCTTGAGAAAGCACCCACTGCTGAAGAGACTGTCAGGTGGCAGGAGGCACAGGTATATCTACTGCTGGACTGCAGCAGAAGCTGCCATTTGTTTGGAGAGATAGTATAACTGCTGGCAGCAAGAAGAGGGTTTGCTGCCAGAGCCACCTTGAGTGTAGATGCACATAACTGCTGTCAGGAAAACCAGACAAGGTTCTTTGGGTAAATCCAATATCTTTTATTAGACCAACTCAAATAGTTGGAAAAATTATTCTTAGCGAGCTTTCTGGCACAAACACCCTTTATCACCCTGATGTGCTGGTGTTTGTACCCAAAAGCTTGCTAAGAATAATTTTTCCAACTATTTGAGTTGGTCTAATAAAAGATATCGGATTTACCCAAAGAACCTTGTCTGCCTGTACTTAGACCAACATGGCTACAACCTACACCCATGAAGCCAGGAAAACCAGGTAGCGTAGATCAGGCCTGTGTTGCAAGGCATTTATATCCATACCTTCCCTTTTGCCGTACATGTTGCTATGTTACTAGCATCAAGATACTAACATGAGAACTAGCTCCTACGAACCACGATGCTATTTTAGTTTTCAGTTAGCTAAGCCTAGCTTCTGGGTGTTAGTGCTCCAGTTTTTCCCAAAGCTGCATAGTGAAGATGCTTTTTAGAGTCCAATCAAATCACATTTGGATAATTATAGATAAGAAATGATTATAGATAGATATATAGATAGATAGATACAGATATATATAGATAGATAGATATAGATAAAAATGATTATAGATAAGAAATCCTACACCAGTTGGTGACATGGACTCAGGTATAAGAAAATACATTTTTAACTTACCACATGCTGAATCCTTTTGCAGTTGCTCTAACACATAAAGTTGACTATTTCTAACAGCTGAGCGACCTCTTGTATCGCCTCGTGAAAGATCTACACTTCCAGGAGGAATCTAATGTGCAGAAGAGGACAGAACTGGTAGTGAGGACTGGAAAAAGATCAGTTACCTAATCCAACAACTACTATGTACTTAGCAAGAAACATTTCAGAAAGTTGGCAGGCCTGTTGATAAGGTAACTGATTTTCTTTCAAGTTGTTCTGAGAAAGCCTTGGCTACAAAATCTAGCAAAATAATAAACCTGGAGCTATTACTTTCTTTTACTAAAACTGGAGGAAAGGTGAGGGCACATATACAATGTTACAGTGTCTCTAAAACACACACACACACACACACACACACACACACACACACA